ACAGAATTTTCTGGTTCAAAAGGAAGTCAGAGAAGAAATATGTCAATGTTTGTGTAATTGTTACGCTGTCATTTCATTAGCAGCTGGTTTTCAATTATCAGATGTGTACCAATTGAAGATCCAGCTGCATTAAATTTCAGATGTTATTCAAATATGTCAAGCATATGGGATTTTCTGCAGAAGAAAGAATTTTAGCCATATGTAACTCTCAAAATCCGGTAGTACTTTAGAAATGATAAATGCGGTAGCTATTATTCCAAAGAGAAACGAAGCTGCTTAAAACATTCCTACAAATGATATCAGCGTGTTAAGCTGAAAATTTCCCACAAAATGATCGAAGATTATTTTGAAAATTGAAGAGTTTTTATTTTAGATCTACTGCCGAAAAGAAATAACAAATTCTCAAACAGTGTTATCAGTTTAGATACATGTTTTACATTGCAGGACCCGAAACTACTGCAGGACCCGAAACCCATTCATTTTGTTAGTATAATCATCCAAACTGTACTTGGGTATATTGATTCGTTTGATGATTACATGAAATTCAAAACTATTCCTGAAAATATAGTAAAATATTTCAAAACTTTAAGGAAAAATAATATATAATCACAATTTCTGCAAAATCTTTTACTGTGACATATAAAGTATGAAATATATAATCGAAAGAAATAAAAATTAATCTTCTTTGGAAATTTTAAATTTTTTTATGCAAACCTCGAGCTATTATAACGAAATATTTGTTCCATATAAATGAAATATTTGGTTTTAATTTCATAAGATAAACTAGAAGAATTCACAGCTGAATTTTCTCATCCGTTTAAAATTAAAAAGTAGCACTCCGAGGATTCACTATGTTTGTTTCTTAGCACAATATAAGTGAAACTAACGGAAGTAATACTTTTAAATACTTCTATGGATTTCATAGGTTTTATTTCCTTATTCCAGATGGAAATTATGCAGTTACAGAGAGGAACAATTATTTGGAAAATCGTTTCTTATTGGAAATGGGGAGAAATATTGAAAGACAAAATTTATGAAGAACGTGGTCAAGGAGGAGAATAAATCAATGGCATAATGAACAGAAACAACAGTATCTGCACTAACTCCGGTATTGTGAAAGAAGCTATACTCAGTAATAAAACGTTGGATCTTATTCTTTCTTATAGAAATAAATACTTACCACCAGGCAGTAAAATTATAGAAACATCCGATAAACCTGCATTTTTCAATATATACTATGAAGAAATTAAGGGCATTACCATGAAAACTGCAAATCGAAAGAATGAGATATTAAACCTGAATAAGCAAGAAGTAGAATAAACTTTAATATTTGAATCAGAAAATGAAGAAACAGGATATTAAGAAAAAATTACAATTTATTGTAAAAGTTTTCTTTTATATAAAAGAATCATACATTAAAGAAAGAGTAAAAACAATCGAAGAAAGAGGGTTTTGCAAAAATATTTTAACCAAGGTTCCCAATTAAGCATTAGAAAAAACAATCGAAGAAAGAGGGTTTTGCAAAAATATTTTAACCAAGGTTCCCAATTAAGCATTAGAAAAAACTAAATTTGCTGTTCATGATAAATTGAGAGATATAGTCCCTACAACAAATAATGTCTTTTTCGGTAAAGATGCATTTGATTAATCAGACATCCATTTTTTAAGTTATTCTAGAACTAATGAAGATGTAAAACACATATCAGATGTTATTAAAATGGTAAATCTGAATAAGAAATACAACCACGATTTTTCAGAAAAACACGTCCTTATGAATGGCATTCAAGCTGTAAATGTGTAAACGCACTTGAAACATATATTAAGCTTCTTTAACTAGAAAAAATTTATCTAGGCATTCTATAGAAATACAGAAGGGTAATTACACGTTCTAAAGTTGAAATGGAATTCGCATAAATTGAAAATAATTCAGTATTTATAAAAACAGTGGAAAGTATTAGAAAGTGAATTAACGGGAGATTGGCTGTAATTATGAAAAAGTTAAAATATTAATTGCTAAACCAAACTTTAAACCGCGGACTATATTTGATGAAAATTTAGTTACTGTTCATATGAATAAAACTTCAGTCATCTTTAATAAACCAGTCTGGGTTGGAATGTTAATATTAGATTTACCAAAACTGTTAAAGTGTGACTTTCATTTTAATGTTCTGAAACTTAAATATTCTGATAATATTAGACTATTATGTACGAATACAAATAGTTTCATGCATTTTATTGAAACTCATTTTTATGAACATAGGAAATGTATGATCGATTATTTTGATACATCTGATTATCCAAAAAATAATCAAAGTAATATTCCACAAGTAAATGAGAAGGTTTTAGGAAAAATGAAACAAGAAAATACTGGCAAAGTTATGGAAAAATTAGTTGGATTAAGAGCGAAAATATATGCTTATAAAACTGAAGCGTTTATAAATAGGAAATCAAAAGGTGTAAAAAAATGTGACGTTAAAAACGAAATTTCATTTGAAGATTATGAAGATTGCTTTTTTAATAATAATGAATATTATAACATCGTAAATTCAATTAGAAGGGTAAAACATGACTTCTTTTATTCGCTTAAAGTGACCAAGAAATTACTACAATATCATACAGATGATAAAGCTTTATTTTAGGAGATGGATTTCATACTAGAGCCGTTCTAAAATTGTATCATTAGTACACAATGGAAGAATTCAACAGCTTGGGATCGTACACTGAAAATGTTAAATTGAGTGAATTAAATCAAGGAAATCTTAAACTGATATCTTTGAAACATGTCCTATTAAAAATATTGAGATTTAACTATAGCTGACTGAGCACTAAATTATTAAAAATGAAGTTATTGTATTAAAAAATGTGAAGATAAAGTCTCTGATGAAGCCACTGAAAACATAAATAGCTGAGATAATTTTAGAAGTCAAACAAAACCAATTTTAATCTAAATTAGCAAAGATTTAAAAGGTAAAATAACTAATAAGTTTATGCCTACGAATTATAAAAAAGTATACTGTATAAATGGATACCAATTGACCAGAAGTTTCGAGGACAGATAAATTATCCGAACGTTTGAATGGATCTTTTGAAAATGCTGTAGATTGGACAATTATTTGAAAATATCAGTAGTTATCAGGACATTTTATTTTTGAAGATAAAAATAAAGTAGATTGGCATAATATTTGTGAACATCAAAGATCATCAGAAAGATAGTATATCATCGCGAATAAAGAATTGATTCACTGGGAAATTACTTCTAGATATCAAACTTATCTGAAAAATGTATAATTGTAAATGCTTCTGAAGTGAATTTGGATAACGTTTCAAAACTCCAGACACCCAGTAATAGTTTTATTGTAAAGAACTTAAAAAAATTATATATGACATTAGTTTCTAGATATAAAAACTTATCCAAAGTGCTATAGAATGCTTAAAAAATGTTATAAATTTTAATGAGGTTTTCAAATATTGAACACTTTCAAAACCTTTTATCAATAAACATATTAATAAAATAAAAGATTATTACATCATATTAAAAACAGATCTCTGAAGAAGTTACGAACATTATATTCAAGAAAATGGTTGTAAAGTATTTAGCTAAAATTTGTTCAAAACATAATTTTCATTCTTACTTTAATTCTTCTTTTTATCATTCAACCATTTATATACGTTTTATAGTTCTATCTTCATCCATTTTTATATATATATTTTTACCGTCATCCACAAATTTTAATTATTAAAAATATGCTACCTTCAGCTACCATAAAAATTCGCAAAATAAATTTTCAGTATGTAGATTATATTTACTTTTTTAAAATGAGCACTCATTCTATCTGGGTTTGCAAGGGCTTTAAACAGTAGGCCCCATTAAAAGGTTGATAGAGCCTGAAATAATTATCAATCTTTTAAGTGGTAGATAATTCCTATTAAAAATTCTGAATCTTTATAATATCATCAGTTTCAGTTTCGACTGTCTTTAATTCTTTTAAAATATTTTTCGACCTATTTTCTAAATTTAGATGTTTTTCTTTAATGGATGATTTTTTGTTCTCTTTCTACGCATATTGATCTTTCAATAGTTGTACTAATAGAAAATAAGAACAATCATTGTCTTTGATTCGCATCGGAAAAAGTCACCTCCATTTCTTCCACTATTAACTCTTTAAAGGGCATGAAAAGGCAATTAACTTTTTCAGCAAAACTCTTGTTTTATTTACTATATCAGGTGTTACAATGGAATTATTTGCGACAATTACACATATTTTGTCCAAAACGCGTGAAAAAAATGACCACCTATGGTGGTTAGTGTCAGGGACCCCGCCCGCAGAACACATCCCTACAAATCAGTTTCTACGGTCTCTAAACAGTTTTTCTTTTTCAAGCAGAGTTCAACTTTGCATGTGCTGCTTTCCCACACTGTTCTTGCAGGCTTTTTCTTGGTGCTGCAGAGTGCATATCGTCGAGATATTGTCTTCCATGGCTGACGCTTATTTTCTTGAAGACAAATTGCTGCATCAACTACTGGCTTAAGTTTTTTGATTGCCATCTAGTGAGCTACAAGGGAACTTCAGAAATGGTTAGTCTTGAAAATCACTCACTTTGAGTGAGTAAGACGTTCAATAGAAAAGGTGGTTACTGTAGGTTACACCGCCCTTCAAAAAATTAAGCTCGTGAAAATAAATAAGAGAAAATTATGCGTTGAACGATATATATTTATATACAAAACTTTGTTCGTTTCTTATCTGGAAAATAGCGTGCACGTGAAGAAAAAGTATTGCACCATGCCTTGGAAACTTCGCTTTGAGGGTCTGTGAGTGTCCTATTCTGAGCGAGATGTTCTAATACCGGATGTTAGATAAGCGAGTTGAAAGACTTCTTATTCTTCTGAAAAAAAAAATGCGTGAGAAGATAGAAAAATATTAATTCATTTTTTCAAGAGTAACACTTGGCTACTTCTCTTAGCTATCCAACTTCCGCAGACTGTCAGCAGTAACCTTTAGAGACCCACTGTGTTAACAATTTATGCTCAATTGAAGGGGAGTATTGGAATGACTTCAAGAGTAAAAACTTAGCGAAAAGAGGTAGGAAGATCTTTTTATTTTCTGTTTATGATAGGTAAGAGTACTTTATTGTAAAGGAAACGGTTCGCATGCAAAAAGATAACGACACGCTTATGAGTTTTTTTAAATCATTCATTTGATTTATCCTCATTAGATCCTCATTTTTTATATAGAGTTTGTACTCGTCATGTTTTATTAAAAAATCAAGTTTTATAACTTGTCCTTATTCGAATATTGATGTATTCTTTAATATAGAATTCGTCCTTGTCATTTTTTTCGTATATTTCATTTTTCTTAGAAACTTTGAATCTCCAGGGCCTGTAAATGCAGTTGAACTCCAATTGTCCGAATCAATTGGAACCGCACCCCATTCGGATAATCAAAACTTTGCATATATGGATATCTCCGAAGAGAGGGTGTACGAACACTTTAATTAATTACTGTGCACAGACATTAGGTTAATTGGAAAAGCCGGAGAGAGGAAAAATTAGCAACGCCTTCGCCGGGAATCGAACCACGGACCTCTGGAATACCGGCCCAGGGTGTAGAACCACTACACCACGAAGGCACGCTAGGAAAGCGGGAGAAATACTTTATAACTGTATGCACCGTATGTTGAAAATGGAAGAAACAAAAACTATTTTTAAAGAAAAAAGAGGTTTTAATTAATTAAAGCGAAAAGGCAACACTTTTACGTATGTGTTATATAGCCTACTGTACAGGACTTACAGTGTTGAAAGTCATTACTTGCTGAATATCTCGGTCAAAGTAAGCTGTTTGACTGTCTTAATTCATTTTCGGGCAGCCAAGTGGCGCGTCCGCTCAACAATGAGAAGTTGCATGTGGGCCAAACTCGGGCTGACGCTCCATCCACTTCATCGCAATTTAAAGGCCTGCAATAGCTGATGTTCCTGCGTCTGCTTCAACTTCGGTCATCTTCTTCCTCGACACTTTTTTCTCTCACTTTTTCAATAAGTTCATCATTTAGAATTTGAGACCCAGGGCCTGACGAACCATACACCATCCATTCTGCTGTATCCTCAGCACTAACTTCTGAACATCCGGGAATTTTCTAAAGAATATTATTTAATTCCTCAAGTGATACGTCATTCTCCTCTTCTCGTGTCTCTTTCCGTTCCTTTTCTTGAGCTTCTGTTTCCTTTTTTCTCCTTTTCCTTCTCTTCTTCAGTTGGTTCTGAAAAAACTCTGAAATTCTGAAAGTGATTCGGATAATCAGAGATTCGAATAGTCGGAGTTCGGATAATTGGTTGTACTCTAAAAGGATATTTGGAAAGTTAAAAAGCTGCTAATTTAGATATATCGTTTTAAATTTTTTATTTGTTTTATATTCTTTCATATTAGAAAAATTTCATTTCTATTTGTTTCCTTCAAGGTGTACTAGCTCGATTATTTATTAGCTAATGAATGTTTTTCAAAACGAAAGTGACGGATTTATATGAATAAACAAGTTGAAATACCTAAGCAGTATTTGAGGATTACTATTAAGAGCAATTATCAAAATTAATTTAAAGTAGCGTATGTTTCTTTTGGTCGTTTGTGTGTGTGTCTATTGCATCCAACAAAATGTTAAAACACATGTATCTAAATCAATTATGGTTAAATAAGGAACGAATCGTAATGTATATGTTTTTAAAATTTAGAATTATTTTTTACTTCTGTTCAGTACATCTCTAAAAACTCTCCTCGCCACTTCCACCGCTTATACTTGGAGATTTAATAAAAAAAAGATGTTCTCCATCTTTCAACGCTCTTTCGAAAAGCGTATTTTACTCTACCAATCTAAAAAATTCTGCAATAATTTTTTACATGTATAAAAAAAAACTTATTGCGATGATTTCAGCTCTATTAGTGCGAATGATTCTGATAAGTATTACGGAGGTAAGTGATTTGAAGACATTGAAATGGATAAAAGATTCATCTAATATTGCTTTAAGTTTCATGACTAAAAATTGTACTCTGTATATACAAAAAAGGAGAAAAAAAGATTTTTACTTATAAATCTTGGATATATGGTTTCTCTATTTCTGTATTTTATAACTGCAGTAATCAGGTACATGACGCTGCCTCGTAATTTCTTTATTAATTTCGTCACTTATATGAGAAGAACTGAAACAAATATTTAATAAATATTGAAAGATTTCTTAATTTTAAATCTTAGGAATGCTGTTCTTTCTGAAATACATTACTTCTTTATATATTTTACTCGTTTTAAAGTCACATTCATATTTTCGATTCCAAATTTCTCAAAATGAATTTTCATTTTACTTAAATGCAATTGGCGTGTAAATTACTATATCCCTGCCCTTTTCAGCATAAATGTTTTGGAGTAAATTGACCAGCAGGCCTCAAATTTGAAGTATGTTTGAGATGTTGCTGGAGGAACGGTAGTGTAAGATAAAGATATTTGCAAGCCCGGCCAGCTTAAGTATGATAAGTGCATACCGATATCTAGCGTTACGTTTTTCGTCTTCTGTAAAGTTGGTAGATATTAGCTCGATTTCAATGTTCCTTTTCAGTTTCCCACAAGAGGTTTTCAACTATTATTTCCTTGTGGGCGACCTGGAATTCGCTCGCTTTGCTGCCGCTGTGTGGCGTCATCTCTTAGTGAAGCTATCCTTCCTTTGATGGCTTTGACGTTGGAATCAAACCGATTCAACGCACTTGGAATCAAACCGAGGTCTACGTTATATAAACCGCATATTGTACCACCGCAAAACAAAAATGCATTCGGCTTCCTCGAATAGTATGTTGATCTGTCAGTGTGAACTTTGGTAACCGTCACATCTTCATACAGGTGATTTAGGAATAAATGGTCTCCTCTGTTCAAGAACCGTGTGCTTGGAGATATTGTCACGCAGTAAATCTTCGACAAAGTAACTTAATCAGTATAAGTTAAACAAAATGTTTCCTTTCCTTACTCAAATGTCATAAGACATTTTTCAGCTTCTCTGTTGAGTACATCCAATCTGCTACACTGTTGAGTACCTCCGCCTACATATGATAATTTCGCTCTTATATCCATAGCGTTACTGATTTTCTATTTATAACTTCGTATTATCAAATAACGTTGATCAGATCTTATATTAAAATTTGTAGTTTTCATTAAAGAATTTCATGTTTCTCTTCAAGCAACTAAGCAACGAAATTACGTTCAGCTTCACATACATAGCAATGAGGAACAGTGAAATATGGCAACAGTTTACAAAGTTGTTAAAATTGTTTAAAGCTCCGTTTCATATTATGTAAACATATAAGTGTACACACAGACAGTATACATAAAAATGAGTAAAAATAATGTTTATTAAAGACTGTACAATAAGGGCTCTGTTTAGCTGATATAAAATACTATCCTTCCTTTCACTGCGAAAATATAATTGAATGCCAAAGGATGCATCATCTATATGTTTCTAAATACGTAACCGAATTTCACTGTGTCATGAGTAATTGTAACCCGCCCATCGAATGCATCCCTAACTAATCCACAACTGCTACTTGGGTAATAACTGGAGGATTAAAACGTCATTCATCATCAGGAACTGATCTGCTGTCCGCTATAGCAATAACTTCCAAGTATCTCTCTTCACTACCGTTTCGAACACGTTTACTAAATTTGTTTTAATTGGGGTCCAAAATTGCTACAAACTTTAAACAGCATTTAATCACAAAAGAAGAGTTTTCGTGATGTTGATAGATTTTCTAAGTACACGTTGTTTATAAATATCTATAAATTTCGTGTCATCAGTTAGAAAACTGAGCAAGTTATATCATTAATATGGCTTTATAATTTACAACATTTTAGTGAGGTTTTCAGATGCCGTAATTGGATTTGAAAGTAAGTATTGTTCTTGTTACTAATTACAATATATGGAGATATAGCTACAAGTGTATGGTTGGTGATTATGATTGGGGATGAATCAGTCATCTCAGTTTTACTTTTAATAATACATCTAATTTATATAATTTGTAATGTAACTAAACAATGTGATTTTTAATTAATTGACATTTTTGTAAATATATGCAGCATTATTGCATCCAATAAAAATTCTTCTACGCCATGTGGGTTTATTCCACGTGCTTAGAGAATAAAATTTGAGTGTCATTTAACACTATGCTCTACCCTTACTTTAACAAATATATCTCGATATAGTGTTTCAAAATAAGGTCATGTCTTTATATGTTATAAGATATTTTTTCTCACATAAATTTATTACCTAGGGCTAATAAATGTAACAAAGCATTACAGGATGTTTCGAATCTCATAACAAACATTAAGTGCAATGGAGCACATTGCAACAGCAACAAGTAGGTTACATAGGAATACATGCGCGCATATGATGAGTTGAAGTAATAAAGGGGAGATAATGAAAGGAAATACATGTTGTTTATTACAACATCGACGAGTGCTTTTTTGCAACAGTGTTTACAACAAGTTCCTAAAAGTACATCCACCATCAGTGATTTTGCATGCTTCGCACCGTTGATGGATAGTTGTATTTTTCAGGTAGAGGGCAATAGGTACTGCTTTTCAACATTATTCATCTGCGAAGCACGCGATTTGCGTTCGTAAGCACGCAATTTGCGTCTTTCATTCCAACACAACTTTCTATCAGTTACCATACGTAATTCATTTTTTCTTCTTCATTATTAATTATTTTGAGGGCAAAACCTGTTAGAATGTTTCCTTCCTGTTTCTCGATCTCTCGTTTTTTCTCGTCATCCAAATAAAAAGCAAATGACTCTGTTGTCAGCAATATCCTAGTTAACTCTTCGCATAACTTTTAATTAAAAGCTACCATATGATATAACCACGCTTCACTTGAATTTAATTCGTCGATCTCAGTCATCTTACAACTTTTTCAAACAAATTATAGCCATGCAGCCATATAAAATTATATTCAGCACGTTTTTTTTTCTATTGTATATCTCAAGGAAAAGCGACTAACATATGTTTCTCAACTTCCATGCCGTGGTAGGTCTTCGACAAGATTTATCGCTCTGAT